TGCTACTGGCCTGGCGTGGTAAAGTGTCCTACCATGGTGGACAGGATAAGGCAGCCCTCCCCAGAAACCTTTTGCAAAGGCTTTGGGAGTACATGAAGGAGAGCTTTCAGGAGATGTCCCTGGAGGATTTCCGCTCCATCCCCATACACGTTAACAGACTTTTCCAGTAGCTGTACTGGCCGCGATTGCCAGGGCAAATTAATCATTAAACACGCTTGCTTTTAAACCATGTGTAATATTTACAAAGGTACACTCACCAGAGGTCCCTTGTGTGCCCTCAGGGTCTGGGAGCACGCCTTGGGTGAGTTCGGGGGTTACTGGTTCCAGGTCCAGGGTGATAAACGTATCCTGGCTGTTGGGGAAACCGGTTTCTCCGCTTCCTTGCTGCTGTGAGCTATCTTCATTGTTTTCATCATCATCTTCCGCTGCTAAATTCGACCTAAACTCGTAGACCAGGCCATAGGTGCCCAGATGACACACAAGCACAGCAGAAATCCCTCCTGCCTTCTTTGTCCAAGGAAAGGTGTGCTGGTCTGGGAGCCAGGAGGAGACCTTCTGTTGACTGGAGGTGATAATTTTGTGTATGTCACACAGTTTTCATTATTGAACAAGGCTTACATCCAACCCTACATTAGGAGCACATTCAAAGCACACATATCTAGGCTTGGAAGACTTACATTTTTATTGGTAAATGTTGATTAACATTGATTTTGCTATACTCACTCAAACTATCAAAAAAATATTTCCATCAATGATGATAGAAATTTACAGATGGGCAAAGTAAGAAAAATGCTGCTCGAGAACTTTAGAATTTGATTTAAGGATATTGATTATATTTTGACATATGATATTGACAATTGATGTTTTGACAGTTATAAAGCTTTAACTTTTTGAATCTCAGTATCTACTGTCATTAAATAATTGTCTAATCCCCTCCCTTATAACTTTGTCCAACTGTAAACATTTAAATTGATAAAAATTGAAAAAAAGATTATTGTTTTCAGCCATCAAAATTACAAAAAATAGAAATCTAATTCTATTAATTCTAAAACAAGCCTGTTTATATCAGTGCTGCATGATTTGCCTTGTCTGTCTATTAGCTTTTAGGTAGAGTTGAAGATATTGGTAGTGTTCAGTAAATTCCTAAATAGTTTGGGATTTGATCGCCAAACAGTCTCTCATCCCAGGCAGCAGTTGTGATCAGTCCAGGCACTTACGCTGGAGCCAGTTTCTCTTCCTTCACACCCTTCTTCTCTCTCCTCCTGCCTGGCAAGTTAAATTGGGAGAGGACTATTGACAGGGCATTTTCCGTGAAAGGTTCTCCCTGCGCCTCTGTTTCCCAGAGACTTGGATTTGTTTATCTTTAGGGCATACTGCAAAGCCTGTCTCTTTTTCTCCCTGAGATCTTGATAAGGGGATGCGTTGGTAGTTATCCTACTTTAAGGCAATTTTTGAGTTCATATACTCTTAGTTGAGCATTTAATATTATGTTCATATGCAGGTTTTATTGGTATATTAAAGTATTTTATGATGCATAGTGCTATAGACAACTGTCTTTATAATTTGTTCCGGTACATAAAAAGTAGCTGACTTTGAAAGGCTTGATTTCAAAAGCATATTTGTGATATACTGAAAAGTCACTTTCTAAACCTAAAATGTGTAATACTTTTATTCAAACAATAAGTTACATTACAAATATTGGACATAATTTTTGAAAACCCTACTCCCCATGTAAGTTTGGCTAGCGATAGATTTAGTAAGATGGGCAATTAAATATTTGTCAATCATAGAAGCAGCAACACAAGTGATTTAGTTTTAGTTCTTAAAAGTTTAGTTAAAACTAAACTCTATGTAAAAATAGGTATATAAAAAGAAGCCTCTCTTGTATCTTACACAGCTGGTCTTGGCCGAACTGGCACACTTATAGCCTGTTATATTATGAAGCATTATAGGATGACAGCAGCTGAAACCATTGCTTGGATTAGAATAAATAGACCCGGCTCAGTAATTGGACCACAGCAGCACTTCCTTGTAGAGTAAGTAGACTGTTACTATGTTAAAATTAATAATTTGGAAAACTAATTAAAAACTGTATTTTAATAGAAAAATTAGAAATTAGTTCCTTTAGAAACAAAGCAAGCAACGGTGCTAATTTCTGGAAAGTTATAACATTGTTATCTTTTCCATTCCATAATAGGAAACAGACAGAACTTTGGACAGAAGGAGATATTTTTCGTGCAAAGTTAAAGGGAAATCGCAAAATTGCTGTTACAAAAATCCTCACAGGAGTAGATGATATTTCCATTAATGATGCAAAAAACCGGAGAGCCAACAGAAAAGACTCTGAACTGGTAATCATCCGAATGTTCTGCTGTTGTAAAAGTTTTAACTGCTGTTGAGGACCTCGTAGGACATTGACAAAGCCATGGGTACAATAAAGCTCAAGATATCAGATTCTTCTTGTATGTTTTGCTATGTTCCTTTTCATACTAAAAGATTTGGGGGCAAAAAGGTATGGACAGCAAGTGTGAAAAATGGAAGTGCGCTCTGCAGTTGAAATAGGAGCATCATTGTTATATTTTAAACTTTTTCATTCACTAGGTAAATATTAGAACAGACACAAATCAAGGTTTTGAAGTTTGCAAGCAGAAGTATCCTTGTTCTATTTCAAATGTGCTTCTTTTTTTTTTTAATTGTTGAAATGCCTTTTCCTACCATGACAGCTGACTTCTATAACGCTGTCTGATTCCTTTGTTTAGTCACTGGCATCCAGTGTAGAAGGAGATGTGGTGGTCTTTAAAAGCCAAGCATAGGAAAAGATGTGAATGCCAAGAAGGAATAGAAACCAAGATAATACTATATCTAAGCAGCACTGTTGAAAATATTTTCCAGTATTTCAAAGTCAGGTGGTATACTGAATGAATAGCTCATGGGTTAATGCTTTGCACATTTAAATGCAGTAACTTTGAGTTAGGGAAGATATAATTTTATTTATACAAGTAAATGTGCTTTAATTTACACCTGCAAATTTTGTTCTTGAAGAAGTTAGTGTGTGTGTACCTTATAATTTTTAAAATAAAACTGCGATATTAATGGGTAAAACTTAAAATCCTTGTCTTATCATTTGTTTACTTATCCAGTACAGTGATGAAGATGATGCAAACTGTGTAACACAAGGTGATAAGCTTCGTGCCCTGAAGAGTAAAAGGCAGGCAAAGGCTGCAACCACAGTTCCACTAACGTAAGTCAACTTTTTGTGTATATAAATACCAAAAGAGCGAGGGGGGAAGTGTCTTCCATTTTGCCCATTCTGAACGTTCATTGGAAAGGCTATGCTCACATTGATTAAAGGAAGCATGGATTCACTGTAGGCTTAGTGACTGGTTGATCGTTTTTGTTTTGATTTTTTGGCTAAACAATGGTATTCAACCTTTCTCCTTCTCTTGTCTGTTTCCTCTGTCACCAGAATGACCCACTGCCAGTATATGCTACATGTGCCTACTAGCCAGGTTGTGTATCTGCATGTTCTTGACAGCTCAGTCTGTTAGACCACAAACGCTTCCTTGAATTCAGTATTATGGTATTTAAAAAAATTAGAGGTCATTCTCTCTAAGGTGTAGTGTTTGATCAGCTCACTCAATTTGTGTAGTTAATTTTATTAAAATAAGTATAAAATAAATATTAGAAGATGAAACTTTCTTTTTTAAATGTTTTTTACTTTTAACTCCTATTGTTTTCATCTTTCTGGGGGAAGGTCCTTCCCTAGATGCTGCTAGTTTTATAAGAACTACTGGTAGTTTCATGTGAGCAGTTCTGCCTAGGCAAGGAGTAGTAAAACTTCAAGAGAACTCTCACTGGATAAGTTCAAAAGGGGATGTATGTACCTATGATGATCCCAAGACACTGATTACAGGCCAAGAAGAGAGCATTGCCCACGGGCTACTTATCAGTTGTCTCTGGTAGACAGTGCAACATCAGCTGCAAGGGAAGCGACATATCTACCTTTGACCTTAGCATCTGTTGCTGACAGTTGCAAGATAGATTGGTTTCCTGGTGCCTTCACATATAGTAAAAGAGAAATACAAGAGCCTCTGCAGCAGCAGGGGAACTCTTTGCTCCTTTATCAAAATTAGAGAGAGGATAGCCAGGACTGTTACTATCTACTTCATCATTACCTATTAGATTTCACAGCCACCATGCCTCCTGAGCTCAACAAGGAAACTTAGTCTCTACCCTGGTTGTCTTTGCACCTAGGAGTTACATTCTGAGACCCATAGCCAGCTGTTCTTTTTTTTTTTTTTTTTAACT